TTGTCCTGGCACAGCACCTGGGGGTGACAGCAACAAGTGCCAAAGAAAAGTTCCTTCCTGCTCCGCCATCCATCCTACATCCCCTGTGGAAACCTTGTGGTCTCTGCTGTCCCCAGTGCTGTCCTCTGCGGAGGGGAACAGCCCCTTTCTGTGTGGCCCAGTCCCCAGGGCTGTGCAAGGGGGGACGGGGACAGCAGTAGGGACGATGCTGGCAGCTCCGGTTGGGCATGGAGTGCTGCCTGCAGTCGATGGTGTTGGGGCAAGCCAGGCTGGGAACGGTGCCGTGTGGGCTGTGCAACGCCCAGTATCTGGGCTCTTGATCATGCAGGGGAAGAAATGTACAAAGGGGGTGAGAAAAGATAACAGGAAACAGGGGACATGGCTGGGGAGGAAAAACAACCCAGACCCAGAGCTGCAGTTGGCTTCCCAGGGCTCCCAGGGCGTCCCTGAAACCACAGAGCCCTGGTACACCCCGGCATGGTGGCATGGCACTGCCACCAGTGCTGCACCCATCCTTGCTCCCAGGATCCAGGCACCCGGCAGGAGCAAGGGTGCAATGGGGGGTGCAGATGCAGGGGGTGCTCAAGCAGCCCGAGGGACCCCCAGGGAGAGGTTTGGGGTCCTGCTCCCAGCTCTGTGTGTGCCCCTGCCAGTGCCAGGGACAGCACTGCTCACTGCGGGGCTCCCCTCCCTGCCGCTGCCTCGGTTTCCTCATCTCTCTTCCCCTGCCAGGGCTTTGGGGGAGTCTTGGTGCCCAGAGAGCAATGCCAGCAAGGAAAGCAATGGGGGACATGGCCAGAGTGGGAGAGGGGCAGGTCCACAGCCCGGGCACATGAGGCAGTTCTCCGTGCAGATGCTGCCGAGGCACTCATTTGCCCACTTCCCCTTTTGGCAAAAAGCATCCCAGCCAGGGCAGGTGCAGGGGGTTGGCAGCACTGAGGAGCTGCTGGTGCCACTTTAGCTGACGGTTGCAAGATGACTCAGTGGGAGCCAAAGTCAGGCTGGCATCCTGTTTTCAACCAGGCTGCGGGTGGCAGATGGGAGGCACCTTGGTGAGGCTGAGAGCAGGGCCCTGCCTGCACCTGTCCCAGCGCAGGCAGGGCGTTTGAACCCCTGGCATATGCACCCCGGCAAGGCACTGGCTCCTTCCCAACACCTGCCGAGGGGGAATAGCCCACGGTCATGGATGGCAGTGCCTGGGTGAGGCTCCAGGGCTGACACCCCCCTCCATCCCCACCAGCTCTGCTCTGGGCACAGCAGACGCTGAAGGAGCACCCGGTTCCAGTCTGAGATGAATTAGCATGGTGCTGTTGGGCTGCTCATGGGTGATTTCAGAGGAAGCTGCATGTGCCAGGGGTGCGCAGCCAGACCTGACAGTCCTGCTTTC